TCTGGAAACCAAAGCAACCTCTCCTCTCAACATGCCACCAAACACTAATTCCCTGACCTGTGCCAAGGAATCCTACAGGGTTGCTCTTCCCTTCACCACATTTTTCTCCTTCTCTAGTGTCCCTCCTGCAGGTCAAGATCCTTCCTTAACTTCAGATAAAAAGCCCTTAACAACTGGGACAACACGGACAAGTCACTTAAATCTCTGACTCAGTTTCCACATTTATGGAGAGAAGGGAATTCATATGTGACTATGTACAGCACAGAGCTTGGCACACAAGAACATAACAAATGGAAGTTTCCTTCCGCCAGTATCCAGGGAACTGTTTTCATTTTTGGTCTCTCATATTGGAAAATAAGATGAGTAATGGGGTCTAACAGAGGATAAAGCTCTCTTGATTAGGGATAAAAAAAAAAAAAAAAAAAAAACCTCCTTCTCTATATTCTTTCCTGACCTGCCCAACTCCCAGGGGAGCGGCCAGAGCGCCCAGCCAAGGTCAGTGACCAGGCCCAGAGCCCAGAGTCTCCTGGGAGGGTGAGTTTAAATGAGTAAATATGGTCCCCGCCTGGGTGTGGCCAGCAATAGCCACAGCTCCCTCCTCCTCCAGTCTGCAGCTCAGGGGAGAGAGCTCACACAGAGGCACCAATGGTCTTCCTCTCCCAGCTCCCCCCAAGGCAATCAGAGTCCTGGACAGAGTCAGTGAATGTATCTCCTTGACATCCCCAGTCTCCATGCCAGTCAGCCCCTGCCAAGGCTCCCAGGAAGGGGAGGTGGTAGCCACAGCCTCAGGAAAAAGAAAAAGTCAGATGCAAAGGGCTTTGGGATGCCCAACCAAGGAGCTGCCTCAAAATGCTTAAGGACTCAGATGAAACACTGATACCTCAGATTAGCACTGGTCATCAGGGTGAGTGGGAAGGCAACAGAGACCACAGACAAACCACCAAGCGCCCAGGTGCTCTGATTACCGAAAGGCTGGGTGAAACTCCTGTACATCTGGAGAGCTGACTGACTCAAAGACACAGTCAGCATGAGAGACAGAGGGGAGCTAAGCCAGGACCCCTGAGAAAGGTAGGTGTAGGGGTGTGTGCGGGTAAGGGCCAGTGATGGAAGTCTGCCAGAACTCACCAACTCACAGCCTCATTCTAGGTCTGCCCATCTGTGGCCTAACCCTGATCCTTCCTGCTCCAATCAACCCTTCTCTTGTCAGAGTTCTAGAATGCCCTTCTCGCTTCCAGTCCAGTCCCCCCTCCCAATCCTTCTATCATCTCTGCCATTTGCTACCCATCTCCCCCCACAGGGCAGCAGCTGCTCTGTGGGTGTCTCCACACCTGTGTGCATGTGCTGCACATCGCCGTGCGCCACTACTTGCAGTGGACCTGCCAGATGCCCCCTGCTGAGGGCAAAGGGAGAGGGGGGAGAAACTAGCCCTCTCACAGCTCCAGGACAAACTCCTCTCAGAATACTTTCAGCCCCTGGCAGGGGGAAAGAAGAGAAAATAAATATTCCAGGAGCCAAGCACACTATCCCCACTAGGCCAAAGTTCAAGGCCTTTTAGCAAAGCTACTGCAAGTCACTGAAGAAAGTGCTTTGAGCTCTCCTCCTAGCCCAGGCCAAACCAGAGCCATCTCTCTCTCTCCCATCTAGCTCCACCAGGAAATTCTTCCTGAAGTCTAAGCCCTCTTCTGTCTGCTGTGGTGGACAGACGGGGTGGGGGAGGGGGGTGGGGGGGTGACCTCAACCATAGCACAGCAAGGTGTCCAACTTCCAAAACAGAGCCACTAGCACCTAACACTAGGCCCTCCCCCACAAGTCAGTCACCAATCTGGGACAGAAGGACAGACGGTTAGCAGGAATCAGGCCCCATGACTGGCTCATAAAAGCCACCAGCGATTACAGTGATGCTGAGGCTATTCCTGTCCCTCCACCATCCTCCTTCCCTGTAAAAGGGAGATAATTACCTCAAACCAGTTGGCTTCAGAGAGCTCGGAGAGTCCCAGTCATGGTCTCCAGGGAGGGGGGTGCCGGCCACCACAGTCACAAGATCCAAAAAATGACCCTCCAGAATGGGTTACAGGCCCATATCTGAGCTTCACACCCACTTCTTTATCCTGGGTGAACATCAACTAGACCATTCCCAAGAGGGTCAAAGCCTCCACTACTACCCTCTACTAACTATTCTTCTCCCGCAGGGTACCAACCTCTGGACTTAAAGTAGGGGGCCACCTGGCTCCAAATACAAATAGGGAAATGGTGGCTCCACCCATTTGTCCCTGCCTCCCTTTACCCTCACAGAGATATAGAAGTGGGTGGCAGAGTAATCAGCACAGGGCCCACCCACACCAAGCCAGGGGAAAGCACTGAGATTCCAGATCCAGTGCCAGTCAGGGAGGGCAGGGGGCCCAGAAAGCAGAAAGATGACAGGATAAGCAGAGGGCCTGGCTTCTCAGGGGACCATGAGTGACAGAGATGCCCACAGCAGAGACCTTCCCAGGCAGGGTCAGTGGAGGCAGGTGGGAGAAGCTCTGTGACAACCACTGAGGGTCAACTCCAAAGTCTCCCCTGTCCTCCTCAGAGCATCCTTGCTATGGTTCTCCAGACCGCCACCCCCAACATGGGGAGTTAACTTCTACCTTCTCCCCATCACATCCTCCCAGGAAAGACCCAGGGAAGATTTTTTTTTTAAACCTGCTGGAGAGATTATATAACAGCAACCAGAAAGACTATCATATCTCCGCCTATGAAAAGAGCTAGAAGCCAACTCAGACAGACCTAGGATGCCCAGGCCCCTCCAGTCCAGGGCCAGCAGGTAGAGTGGGGTGGACAATGGACAGCACCCATCATCCTTCCAAGTCCCCCACCATTCTGTTCCAGGCACTGGATACAGCAGACAGCTGTTCTAGCCCAACCTCATGCCCATCCCCCAACGCTGGATTGTGATGGTCTCTGCTAGGTCCTGCTTCTCCCCATGGACTAATGCCTCCAACAGCAAAGATTGTGTCTTCCTTTCTATGGTCTTTCCCTATTAAGCTGTAAAGCTGTGCCTGAAAGAGCAGCAGTTGGACTAAAGCTCTGAGAGATTTGCTGTGTGCTTTCAGATAAAACTCAACCTCTCTGTCTCTAAAGGAGTGTGTGTGAAAGATCCTTCTTTCCCAGAGAAATCCAAGGACCCCCACCCCTTACAACTGTGCATGTACACGCTCACATGTATGAGTTGTGTCACGGGGGAGGGAGTATCAACAAAGAGAATATGACGCCTGAGACACAAGGGTCCAACGGCTGTGCTGGACTAGTGGGGAAAGAGCTACACGTAAGATCCTGTGTACCCCCTAATCATCCCACATAAACGGGTCTTTAACCACTTCTCACACAGATTCCACCCCACCCCCATCTCCTGCCCAACACACTGGGAAACCACAGGAAGGAAATTCATTCCCAGGCAGGCCGTGGGAGCTGGGACCAGCCAGGCTAAGTCCTGGGCGGGTGTGACCCGGCAGCCACAGGCGGGTGGACATCTGTGAACACTGACATGTGCCTTTTTCAGTGTTCTCCTTGGCTAGTAAGGCTTCCCCTGATGGGGGTTTGGAGGGCAGTGGGAGGTGGATAGCTTCCTAACTTCAAAACACCCAATCTCCAGCTTGCCAGGGCTCCCCTCCTAATCTCCAGGCCAGAGCAGCCCAAGGTCACTGCCCAGGCGGCAAACTTCCCATAGTCTAGGATGGCCCCTGAATTGCATGAGACCCACAGAGAGGATGGGGGAGGGGGAGGGCCCCACTGCTACTCTCTCCCCAAACCAAAGAAGCCAGACCTTCCCAGGGCAAAGAGAAGGGGGCCACAGGATCCACCCACTGTGCCCTCCCCCAACCATCAACAATGCACTGCTAAAGAGGAGGCAGAGAGCCTCCCACTGAGAAAGACAAACCTGAGATAACCTAGTTGGTGGCTCCAGGAGTGCCCAGATCCAGGAGACCTCCTTTCTTGGGGGACAGACCTCAAGAGGCATCAGCTTGAATCACTAGAGGGTGGGAACCCCTTTCTCCATTTTTGTAAGACCCAAACCTGATAGAAAGGGGACTGGCACTGGGGCAAGAGAATGCATCTCAAGTACTTCTGTTCTTTCTCCTACAAGTCCCCCCCCACACACACACACACTCCCAACCCAGTTCAGCCTGCAAAGGTGGAGAGAGGATTGGCGAGCTCTTGCCCAGATGTTGAACAGCTGCAAACTTCTGGCCAGGGGTTCTCCAATTGGAGCTGCTGACGAACCAGATCAGGGGACTCGGAAGCCGGCTGGAGGTCCCAAGGGACGGTCCTACCAGCCCACCTCCGAGGTGACTCCACGTCCCAACTCCACAGGCACTAGGCAAACCCGGGCCCCGGACATACACACACTCACACACCCCTACCCACCACCCCGG